TTTGATTAGCAGCACAGACTGAACATCCAGACTAGAATATCATTCAAGGGCTCCAAATCAGATTTCAAAAATTCTGTTCTTTGGTCCCTGTCTTTCTCTAAGTTCTTCTATATATTTAAATGGAAGTTTGCAGCATGTACTATCTATTCATCAGCATTTCCTTCAGCTGCTTCATGTAAAATCTGTTTTATTCCATTCTATATCACTGAAATATTTAAGTACTAAAGTCACCATGGAAAACTAAATTCTGTAGTATTTCTAAAGTGTCTCATTGTTTTTCTCTACTTTTTGCCATTGTTTTTCTCCACTTTTAGGGGAAAATGAACAATTTTTAAAAGGAGATAATTTAAAAAAAGAAAAAAAATGTTTGTTTTAACATGAAGAAAGTAAAATTAAAATTTTGATTGTTTCTTAAAATATATAATTCTTGCTGCTTCTCCAAGTGAATGTCCATATGGATTCCACTCTTTGTGTGCATCTGCCCTATGCTTGTGAGATTGCATTCTTTTGGCCTAGAGTGTCTGTTGGGACCAAACGTATGCCCTTCAAGTTCTTGTGCCTCTTATTTGAGGGCATAAAGGGAGGAGTGGCCCAACTGTCCCTCAGTCCTTTCTTACTGCCCGTGGCAGTGAGATGGAACTCCTGCAGTGTCCACCTGCTTCTTCCGGCACTGTGATAGTATTCGAGGTAGCTATTAGTATTATTCATTAGCTAGTTGTTAGTAGTATGTGTTAGTCTTTTTGTTATTTGGTACAAAAAAACCCAACCTTTTTTAGTCAGCTGTTTAGCTTTTAGGCTAAACCCCTCCTTGTATATAGCAGAAGTGAAATCGCTTGTGTTCAAAAGCTACTCATCATGGGAAGTTTCAGTGCAGCTTAATGATAGGCATTGCAGATATCTCTTGTATAGGAGAGGTATATATTCCTGAGTGATGGTCCATATGTTGTTCCTTCTCTAAGTAGACTCAAAAAGCTAGCGAGGCTGTCCTAAAATTGTTCTTCCTGGAGCAACCTCTGCATGCCGCTGAGGACACTGAAAGAAAAGGATGTGGCTAGACCTAAGTTCTCCAGTCAGTTTCTTCCCATGAGCACCCCAGCAAGTGGAGAATCCACCCCAAGCTCCCATGCTATGTCAGTGAAGAGACCCCAGTCATCCACCAACATTCCGGTGTCAATGATCTCAGGAGAGGGGTAGGAAGGAGCACTGCTCCAGAGATGCTAAGGCATATACCACCCTCTCTGATGCCTATCCAGTTGAGAAACAAGAGTCAGAGGTGTCTGATTCATCTTGGACTCAGCAGTTGAAGGGCTGCTAATGGCTTGACAAAGGTCCATTTCATGCCTTGGTACCAACTGTTAAGAGAGAGCGACCAGTACCCACCAAACCTGTGGACTGTGTTTCTCTTAGTACCAGCCCTTCAGGATCCTTGCTCTCAGTACCTGGCACTATGGAACCAGCCACCTCAGAATTATGTTCTTTAGTGCTCAGCATACCAGAGTTTTTGGTAGCTAGGGCATATACAGTACTAAGTGATTTAACTGTGGGGCCAGTAATAGTGTCACCGCTCCTTGAGAGGTTGAAGACGTTGATAGCTTAACCACCTGTTACCAAGTTTTCGGTACAGCAGACAACGAAGGAGGTATATCTGCTACCTGATTAGGGAGTATATAACAGGGCAAGGGCACTCCTGACAGGAAGGGCCCACTTTGGAGGAGGTGTCTCTCTACTGTGCACAGACTGGGATGAGGAGTACATCGCCTGTACACCCTCTGCACCCCTGCCTTTGGTTAGATCCCTCTCCTTAAAAAGGCAGTATAGACCAACCCAATATGTCAGCTAGTGTAGCCTCCGCTTCTGGAAAGGCAGTAGAGAGAAGGTGATGAGGAGCAAGATCTTCAAAAGGACGAACAAATTGTCCCTGTTGCAATGTCCTCGTCCTTCCCCAATGGCACAGTAGCCTTCTTTAGTTGATGACTTCAAGGCATTCCTGGCCTCAAAGCCTTCCTCAGTTGATGACTTCAGGCATTCAGGACCTTTTGAAGCATATGGCAGAAATTCTGCATATACTGCTGGAAGTGCTGCAGGAGACACCTCACAACTCCTGATATCATGCATCCTTTCATGTCTGGCAAGCTTGCCACACTGATAAATGAGGGATTGTTGGAACCTGCAAAAGACCTGTGGCATAATGGTAACTTCTATATTGGCCACATCCAAGTGAGTTGACAGGAGATATCAAGTATCTTCCAAGGGATTGGAGTATTTTTATTCCCACCTAGTACCAGGATTGCTTGTAGTAGTTGCTGTCCAAGAGTTGTTGAAGAAGCGGGGACCTCCCAAATCTACTCCCAGGAAGAAAGACCTGAAGAAACTCATTTTATTTTGATACACAGTCTACTAATCTGACAGCGTCCAAATGTATGTGGCGAACTACCGTGATATCTGAATTGGGTCAAGCTACCACAGAAGCACTGAGAGGAACTAGAAACCATAATGACTGAGGGACAACTTATGAGCCCACATTTCCCTTCTGGTTGCACTGGACGTGCCCAGCACCGTGGCTTATACTATGTCCACATCTGTAGTAATGAAATCTTCCTGGCTTCAGTCCTTAGGAATTCCCACGGAGATACAAACCACAATTGAGGACCTTCCTTTTGAGGATTCCAGGGTGATTCTTCATTCTGTGGGCCTCTATGTTCCAGCCCCAAGAAGGCAAAAAGGCTTCCATCAGGCAGCATCCCTCTGCCCAGTCCTATTATCAGCTTCACAAGACCTCAGCGGTGCTGAGACAGAAAGATGAAGCTTTGTGGCTGATGACCCACTGTCTCTTCCTCCACTGTTGCCCAATTTGCATCTTCCACCAGGCAGCAGGTTTGATTCTGTTGTTGAAAGCTTGACAGAACCTCTCAAAGATCCCTTGCCTTCAACATTTTTTAGTTTTGGGAAGCCTTGACAGCAAGAGGTAGTCTATCCAATTCTAGTCCCTTCCCATTCCCTACCTTCCTTGCCTATTCCAAGACGAATGTACGGCTCTCTACCTTCAAGATGCCTATTTTCACATATCCGTTCATCCTGCCCATAGGAAATACCTCAGATTCCTAGCAGGACCCTTTTCACTATCATTACAGGATCCTGCCTTTTGGTCTTTCCGTAGCACCAAGGGTATTCACCAAGTGATTAGAAGTCATTGTGACTTATTTAAGGAGACAAGTCTACCTATATCTTGATGACTGACTCATTGGAGGAAGATCACTTCAGCAGGTGATCAGCTTGATTCAAGTGACTTAAAGCTCTTTGCCACACATGGTCCTCAGAGTCAGAGAAAAATTCACACTTGCTCTGAGTCAAAGCATAAAGTTCATAGGAGCTGTTAAATTCCAGATCAATGAGAGTTTATTTTCCATAAGAAAGATTCCAAACTATAGTGAACCTTATCAACCAACTTCAACCCCACCCAAAGACATCAGTAAAGCTATGTCTCAGATTTATGGGACACATGGCCTCATGCACTTGTATGTGATGCAGTTTGCCAGTATTCATCTGTGCTCCATACAAGGGTGGTTGAAATCAAAGTACTTACCCAGAAGGCACCATGTGGACATGGTGGCCACTGTCCCACCAGAAGGACTCTTCTCATTTAAACTGGTGGAAAGACCCTCTTCAGGTGTGCAATGGATTTCTCTGTATTTCTGTCAACCAAGAAGCTGGTGACAGATGCCTCCACTAATGGGTGGGAAGGGATCATTTATGTCACCTTCAGAATCAGGACAAGTGGTCCCCTCATTGAGGTTGTCTGCATATAAATGTCCTGGAACTCTGAGATGTCTATTTGGCATGTAAAATGTTTCTGTCTTTACTTCTGGGATCCACAAGCCAGCTACTGATAGAAACACCACAGCTATGCAGTATATCAACAGACAGGGAGGAACCAGGTCACCTTCACTCTGTCAAGAGGCCATTTAGCTCTGGCCTTGGTGCATTCATTACCAGAATATGTTGCTGGCCTAGTATCTTCAAAGCATTCAGAACTTACAAGCAGATCACCTGAACAGACAGTTCTCAGACAGCTATGAGTGACTGACCAAAGAGCCAGTGTTGCACAGCCATCTTTTGCAAATGGGGATACCAATCAATAGACCTATTTGCCACAGGTCAGAACAAAAAGTAAGTGTTCTGCTCCAGAGGGGGATTCAGTTCAGTCTCTGCAGATGCCGTTCTCATTTCCTGGACACTGGGGTTGATGTATGCCTTCTCCCCAAATTCCCATGATACCTGAGGCAAGATGTTAGATCAATGATCATGATAACTCTGGCATTGGCCAGGCGGTTCTGGTATTTGGATATAGTGAACTTCTCAATGCAGCCCCTGGTCATTTTGCCTGCTCTGCCTGACATAGTCTCACAGAACAACAGTCAAATTCTATGCTTGCACTGAACATTGTTACGTTTGCCAGCCTGGTTGCTGAGTGTCTGACATCCAACAAAAAACGATGTTCAGCTGAAATTTCAAAACATTCTGGTCCAAAACAGGAAAGCTACAACGAGACTGACTTTTATAAAGCTAAATGAAAGAGGTTTTCTTTTTGGGCCTGTCAGCACACCAACTGACATGCCTAATCACTTAAAGAAGAAAAAGTGGTTATTTAAGTTACATTAACTGTGGCTTTTTGAGATATGTTGTCCAAAAGGATTTTATAACGGTGCCTACTTCCCTGTTATTGTGGCATCCTAATCTGGATTCTGTATTGGTGAAGGAACTGTGAGGACACCTAGGGTGCCGATGCGACCCCAATGGATAATGCTGACCAAAAGAATCTGATCTTGCATGCATGAACTGTATGTGCCTCAAGAATTAAACTGATGTGTACAACACATCTCAAGGAACTGCAGTTACTGTAAAGTAACTAACTGTTCTTTTTCCATTTTTGGTATTTAATTTTTGTGTAGTTCTCTTGTTGCAAATATTGTTTTTTATTAACTTTTACATATGTTTTCCAGGTACAGGATTTAAACAATAAAACATTGGCTCAAGAAAATGAGAACAAAAGTTTATTAGATGCTTGTTCTGAAGTGATTAAAGTGATTGAAGATTCAGTAAGTTTTTTTTATTGTTTTCATGAATTATAAGTGAAAGTCTTTGTACATTGTGTTTGCTTTAAATGATCTTCAAAACATACTCTGTCTTAATGTTTCTTAGAAAACTAGCTGGGAATCTGAACGGTTGAATATGAAAAAAATGCTCCTCAATACCCTTCAAGCAGTGGATGAATTGGAACGTGAAAATAAAGAACTTGAGAGAGAAAATGAAGAATATGTGCAAAAGTCCAGAGAAAGGTAATTCAAACTCTGTAAAAGACCTGCAATATAAACAGAAAAGTCAAAGACCCAGAGGAAAATAAGAAGCAGCATTTTAGATGAGCATTGGTCAGTTTTTTCCATTTTAAAGCTTTCTGAACTAATATTTCAGTAATTTTAAATCACATCACATTGAAATCTTGTACTTAAATTGTTGGTGTTCTGTAATCCTATTCTCACGCCTCCACCCTCCCACACAAACAAACAAAAAAACCCAACCCAGTCACACATATGGGTTCTGTGGTTTGGCAATTTGCAAAACAAAAAATATGAATTTTCTTATATTATCTCTAGATTAAAAGCACCTTCATTCCCAATTATATTTTAAAACTTTCTTCTTGAATATGCAGAAGGTCAGCGACTGCATGGAAGGGACCTGTCTCGCAGAAAAAGGGTGAAGGAGGAGTCGGAGAGCGCTTCTTTTTTGAGGCTCCCTGTGTTGGAGAAGTGGTAGCTCTCTCTCAGGAAAAGGGTGAAGAAGAGAGCTACTACTTCTCCTATTAAGGGAGCCTCGAAAAAGAAGTGTTCTCCAATTCTCTCCACATCCTCAGTACTGACCGTGCTGCAGCTAAGTACCTACAAGTTGTTAGGATCTTCCGTTACCGCTAAAGCCCAATAACCTAAGCAGGCAGGCTCTCAGAAGGATAGCAGAAACAAGACTGCCCCTTCTACCACAGCACTGACTGCAGCAGCTAAACACTTGGTACCATGCACCTCAACAGCGCCTCAGCTTACGGCGCCATCTTCTGGCTCTCTGGTGCATTATGCTGAGACAGCAGTACCGAAGTCAACTTTACCTCTTCGGTACAGACATCCTTGGCGCCAATTCTCCTGGCGCCACAACAATTCCCAGTACCACAACAATTATCCTGGTACCACAACAGTTACCGCCGATGCCATCTTCAGTACCAGGATCTCTTGGAATGCAGCAGTTTCTCTGACATAAGAACTTAGTAGTTGCTGCAGCACCGAAATCACCTCTTCTCAGTACTGATATAGCATCAGCACATTCAGCACTGTTACACATGCCAACAAACATATCTGCCTATCCTTTTTTTAGCGAGGAGGAGGACAATGAGGAGGAAGATGTTTATTCTTCACACCACTCTTCACTGATCTAGGGAATCATCAGACTAGATCGGCAGAAACAGCCAGGACACTGTTCCAGGGTTGGCACCCAGAGGTGGTATAGACATCCATGGATGCCACCACCATTACCATTCCTACCACAGTGGCCATATTGGGATGGAATATAGGCAACATTATTCCAAGCCTCCCAGCACCTCAAGGGAAAGACAGAGACGTTCCCCATCAGTGTCAGAGATGGGACCCCGTGAGTCCCCGAGGAGACTTTTTGAGGAAATAGAGGAGGCTGTAGATCAGGAAGCCACACCTGCAACTAACACCTCCTCCTCTCTAGACAAGACTATCATGCCTCCACCACCTACAACAGGAGACCATTTTAAACAATCTTAGGAGCTGTTTAAATGAATCGCAGACACTCTCCAAATCTCTCTAGAAGAAGTTGCTGAGTCCCATTACAAGTTGTTGGACATATTACACACACCAGCCTCCTCCAAAATTGCCTTTCCCATAAATGAGGCACTCATGGATGCTGCCAACACCATCTGGCAGACTCCCACAATAATCCCCCCTACTTGTAAAAGGGCTGAGAAGAAGTATTACATCCCATCAAAGGGTCTAGAATTTCTATTTTCACACCCCCAGCCAAACTCATTGGTGATAAAGATAGTCAATGAACAGGGCAGGCAACACCGTTTGAGGACCACCCCGTATCATAAAGAATGGAAAAGATTGGATCTTTTTGGTGACAAGGCCTATTTGTCAGTGACATTGCAGTTCAGGATAGCCAACTATGAAGCTTTGATGGTGAAATACAATCACACAAATTACTCCAAACTTTCTGAATTTAGTGACTTCATCCCTGAAGAGAAGAGGGAGCAATTTAGGTCAGTCATCTCCTGGCAAGAACAGCTCTGCAGGCATCCTTAGACTCAGCAGACATGGCGGTGCAAGATCTATCACAACTGCCGTAGTGATGTGACAAGCCTCCTGTCTCCACTTGTCTGGATTCCCAAAGGAGATGCAATCCACTGTAGAGGATCTCTCCTTGGAAGATCCAAAATTATTTGCAGGTAAGACTGAGTCCCTGCATACATTGAAAGACTCTAGAGCGACATTTCGGTCTTTAGACATGTACACACCTGCACAAAAACAAGGCAGATATTATCCATCACAATGCTCAAGACCAGCAACTTACATACAGTCACAGAGGCAGTATGATACCCAGAGATGGAGGCAAAGACCCACAGGACGTAGGCCACTCCCATCTCAACCTTCTAACATCACCACAATGTGGATCAAAACATCAAATTTGAGGGTTTGGTCGAAGTCCTGAGAGACTTCATCCAATTCCAGTTGCTGAAATCACTTTCTAATGCCATCCCTTTACAGACCATTTGACACCATTCTACCCAGCATGGTGAATTATTGCTTTGGAGAAATGGGTGCTGGAAATTGTCACCGCCGGTTATTCCATCCAGTTCACCTCCATTCTCCCTCTCTCCCTGTCCTCCTTCAGGGATCCCTTTCATGAGCACCTTCTGAGACAGGAAGTAGACCATCTCCTACAGTTAGGTGCAGTATAACCAGTATCGTACAACACAGAGTGAAAGGCTTTTATTCTTATTATTTCTTAACCCAGAAAAAGACCAGGTTTGGAGGCCCATTCTTGACTTGAGAAACCTAAACAGATTAGTCAAAACACAATGATTCAGGATGGTTACTTTAGCAACAATAATCCCAGCACTGGGATGAGGGGACTGTTTTTTGGTCCTTGACCTGCCAGATGCATACTTTCATGTCACCGTACATCCATCACAGAGGAGGTGTCTCCAATTTGTTTTGGGACAAAATCACTATCAGTACAAGGTATACTGCCCTTTGGCCTCTCCACGGCCCCCTTAGTCTTTTCCAAAGTTCTAGCAGTGGCCGTGGCCCCCCTCCACAAACAAAGGGTCATGATATACCCATATTTAGATGACTGTCTACTTAAGACCCCCACTCGTGAAGAAGCTATCAGAGACACTCAAAAGCTAATGTCACTCTTTTTGCAAAACTTGGTCTCCAAATAACATTCAAAAGTCAGTGGTGACACCAGTAAAAGAACTAGAATTCATTTGGGCTCACCTAAACTCACTGGAGGCGAAAGCTTCACTTCTGCCACACAGATTTGCCATGCTAGTGAATCTGATCAACACTAAGGTGAACAGTCCACAAACATCTGCCAGGACTTGCCTCCGACTATTAGGCCACATGGCAGCAACCACCTATGTCATGAAACGTGCCAGACTATGCATGCGCTGCCTACAAGGGTGATTGAGGACAGTGTAGATCCCATACAAACAGTCTTAGCAAGCATCTCATACGGTAGAACCAATGAATTATGAACACCTCGGGGATGGAGGTTGTTCATAACTCTGAAATGTTCATAATTGAACAAAACGTTATGATTGTTCTTTCAAAAGTTTACAATTGAACATTGACTTAATACAGCTTTGAAATTTTGCTATGCAGAAGAAAAATGCTGCTTTTAGCCATCTTAATTTAAATAAACAAGTACAGAAAGTTTCCTTACGTTGTCAAATCTTTTTTTTAAACTTTCCCTTTATTTTTAGTAGTTTACATTTAACACAATACTGTACTGTATTTTCCTTTTTTTTTTGGTCTCTGCTGCTGCCTGATTGTGTACTTCCCGTTCCAAATGAGGTGTGTGGTTGACCATTCAGTTTGTAACTCTGAGGTTCTACTGTACCACGAAAGATCAGGGACTTGCTACAGTGAGGGACCCATTCACACAACATGTGTACAGGGGTCCCATTTCTACAGATTCCCCCTGCAATGATAATCACAATGGATGCCTCCTTAGTGGCTAGGGCCCTCATCTAAACAACCTCCCAGTACAGGGCAGAAGGGGTCTCCCCCGGAATCAGCACTGCACATAAGCGTACTAGACCATTATCAGAAACAAAACCATACAGATCCTAATGGACAACTTTGCTTGCATGTTCTGTATAAACAAACAGGGAAAAGCGAGGTCACACTTCCTCGGCACCGAGACATTAAGTCTGTGGAACTGGTGCATCCATCACAATATCAGCCTCCTATCTACTGGGATGTCAGAACACCACAGTGGACATGTTAAGCAGAAAATTCTCCCGCGATCACAAGTGGGAAATAAATACCTTGGTGATCTAGGACGTATTCCGACAATGGAGATTCTCCACCATAGACCTATTTGCACGAGTCAGAACAGTAAATGTCCAACAGTTTGCTCCAGAGCGGGGTTGGGGCCAGGATCTATGGGCAACGCCTTCCTCGTCAGATGAGATTCACCTCTCCTTTACACTTTCCCTACTATCCCGTTGTTGTCCAGGGTCATACAAAAGATCAACACTAACTGATTCAGGGTCATCTTGATAGCCCCCAGATGGCCCAGAGAAACTTCATTCCCATACCAGCAGCAGTGGCATGTCCACCACATCTTCTCCCACTTCTTCCACATCTCGTGCCACAAGATGCATGCCAAATCTTGCACCCGGACCTGGAGATACTCCGCCCGAGAGCATGGTTCCTCCATGGTTCCAAGGTGAGGATATGACCTGCTCAGAAGAGGTGAAGGATATCTTGCTAAACAGCAGGCGGTCGACTACACGCTCAACCTACTTCCACAAATGGAAGAGACACGGTGCCAGAACAAACAAATCAGGCCACCGCTTCTGCTCTATCACTAGTCCTGGACTGTATACTTTAACTAAAAAAATCGGGTCTTTTACTGAGCTCACTCAGAGTACACCTTGCAGCTATCACAACCTTCCACCATAAAGTGGATGGGTTTTCAGTCTTTACCCATTCATTTACAAAACAATTCTTATGAGGTGTCCGGAGCTTCTGTCCTGAACTCAGAATCCCAACGCATCCATGGGAACTTAAATTAATACTTCGTTCTCTTACCAGACTTATGTTTGAAACCTTGGCTGCATGTTTACTATTACACTTCCAATGAAAGTAGCCTTCCTTGTTGCCACCACATCCACAAGACGCGTAGAACTTGGGGCCCTCATGACATACCCCTCATATATGATCTTTTTCAAGAACAAAGTCACTGTAAGACCACATCATAAATTTCTACCTAGAATACCCTCTTTGTTCCACCTCAAGCAACCCATCCATCTTCCCACATTCTTCCCTAAACCCCATAAGAACAGGCAAGAAGTGGCACTCCATACCTGAGATAGAGGACACTAGCCTTTTATCTCGAATGGACTAAACCATTCAGGAAGGCACTAAAACTATTTCTCTCGAATATAGAGAGATCTAAAGGAGAAGCTATATCTAAGCAGAGACTTTGCAAATGGATTTCAGAGTGCATTCATCTCTGCTACTGCCAACATGAACTGTAAACTCCCCTCCCCCAGGTTAGAACACATTCTACCAGGTGACTCTCCACATCGATAGCCTTCCTTAATAATGTGCCTGTGGCAGAGTGGACTAGGTCGAGAGGCCCCCTGCTGGAGGCCTCGTGGCCCTGATTCACCCTGCCTCATGCTAGTGCAGAGAGAAGTCCTCCAGACAGTGTAGAGTGGTTGCAGAGGAGCAGCAAATCAGAGGGGCTGATGGAGCAGCCAGTCTGGGGCCAGAAGGGCCCTATATAAGACAAACAGCAGAGCAGAGAAATTCAGTTGCTGTATGGAGTTCAAGGAGTGAAGACTGGGAGACTGGCTGGCTGAAAGAGCAGCGGTACATTGGACAGCTCACTGTGGAGAGCTCACTGCAGACACGACTGAAGCCCAGGGAAGGCTGCTGAAGACTGGGTGCCTGGTTGGTGGGAAGAGCAGCAGGACCAGCAGAAGGTCAGTGCGGGCAGGCTGAAGCCCAGGGGGACTGAGCACAGAACCTGGCCAGGCCAGTGATGGTACCAAGATGGGCCCCACCGGTCGGTTGAAGACTGAGCCCAGGGAGGCCTGCTGAAACACCACCAGCTGTGGGTACTGAGATGGGCCCCGTCTGGGTGGTTCAAGAAGGCAGTGCTTCTGGGAGAACCTTAGAGCTATGGCCCCATATCAGATAAGAACTTGGACTATATACCCCTGTAGCAGGGTGGTAACCCCGCTCTTGCCAGAAGGGGATAAAGCAGCCCCTGAGAGGGCTGCGGCGAGGAAAGCTGGGTTAATTGGGAAAGCTGTAGCCAGTGTAATCAGGGCCCAGCTGACCCTTATAAGAGGGCGGTGGGCTAGAAGGACTCAGACTCTCTCTCTGGCTCTAGAGAGGGAAGGACCTGGCTGCCTGGGAAGCTGAGAAGGGTACCTAGGGTGGAGCAGAGCTGGGGAAGGGCAGAGGGAGCTGGGAGCTCCAGCCTAGCAAAACCCCAGGCTGCAGGCCGAGTTAGGGGCCCACAAAGGGTACTGGGGCTGCAGAGGGGCAGCCCCGAGATAGGCAAGGGCAGCAGGTCCAAACCCCACCTTGCCAATGATGAGTGGCCTTTACAGACTGCAGTCAGCCCCAGTGAGTGGAGGCTAGATGGTGACTGGCAGTAGCCACTGAGGCGAGGTGGGGATAGGGGGTTGGGGGTTCTCCTGAGTGGAGAGACCCAGACTGTGGGTTGCTACGGTGGGCAGAACCCCTGGGTAAAGGGCACTGGGGGCCGGGAGGGACACGGGGGCAAGCAGCAGGTGAGACATCAGCCGGCAGAGGGCGCTCCAGGGCTGGAAAGAACTAATTCCCTGGACAACTAGCAGGAGGTGCCACGCCAGTGAGACGTTGCCCCGCCACAACCCTAGAAGCGGGGAACAGTGTATGCAGCTCGGCCGGAGTGCTGAGTTGCTGAAGACCCTCCAAGAGAACCATCAGCCAGGGAGGAGGGGGGTGCTCGCGAGAGGCAAGTGCCACCCCGATATAAGAACTAAAACCAAAAACAGGCTCACACCCAACCAACCAAAGAGGGCCGCGCATGAGAGGCAGGTGCCGCCCCAAAAAAGATTGTGATTGTAGGTATATCAGCCAGAGAAAAGGGGATGCTCGCAAGAGGTGGGTGCTAACTCTGTTACAGTGCCTATTACAGACATATGTAGAGCAGCCACTTGGGCATCAGACCACACATTCATTCAGCACTATGCAATCAAGCAAGACTCGACATCAGACACTTTATTAGGACTCATGGTCCTATTATCAATCTCAGATCCAACTCCAAAGCCACCTTCTTTCCACTGAGGGACACACCTCTACAGTCACCTGAAGTGGAGCACCCACAGGGACATCACTCGTAGAAGAAGAGAAAGTTACTCACCTTGTGCAGTAACTAAGGTTCTTCAAGATGGGTGTCCCAGTGGGTGCTCCACTGCCCACTGTCCTCCCCTCTACTTCAGAGTTCTCGCAAGATCCTCTGCAGTAGAGAAAAGAAAAGGAGTACTTGTGGCACCTTAGAGACTAACCAGTTTAAGTCAGGAGAACTTAAACACTGAAGTGTTAGGTGAACAGGAGTGGCAAACAAGTTTCAGACGGAGTGAGAGAGGATTTTTTTCTAGGTATAGTTCTACTCTCAGTACTGTGATGGCCAGTTATGGAACAGTGGTTGTGATTTGCAGTAGACGTGTCATGTTTTCTTGCTGGAAACCAGAAGGAATTTCCTCTGTATTAAATGTAACTGGTGGCTTTGCTGGAAGAAAAGATTTTGGTCTGGAAGGGCAAGTACATTCACTACGGAGCATCAGAGAGGCTGAGGAGTTGTTAGACAATCTGATTTAGGAAACATCACCCCCACAGATTCAAGAAAGGAAGGAACTGGCCACCAAGGAACCTGAGAGAGTGGCAACTAGAGAGGAGTCTTGGCAGTTGTAATCATCAGAGGCAAGAGGACTAGGTGGTAGTCTACATTGTTGGAGATAAAAGAGGATGGGAAGACTGTGACCATCAAACAGGAGAGAACCTAGAGGAATTCCATACAGCTAGAAATATCCAATCATTATCATGTTCTCAGCATGGAAACTGCAGAAAATATCTCTGAAGTTCCAGCTTGTCTAATTGAAGAGAAAGCTGTCTGGAACATACCTGTGGGTGGCTACTCAGCCCAACATGTAAGATAATCAAGCATGCCCACAAAGAGATCTGCAGCTGTCCAAGGAAGACAGATGGTTCTTGCTTTTGATTTTATATTAAAAAGAAAGACTATTCTCTAAGGAGCAGGTAGACAATAGGATAATGTGGTTATCTTCCTGGAGCCAAGAATGAGACATCATTCTAAGATTGGAGAGGCTTTTCATGTTGATGGGCAAGAATACATTGGTGACGGTGCATATTGGCACTAATGACTTCAGGGAGCTTGAAAGGATGTTGAAGGAGAAAAATGTTCATATAATCTTCTCAGCGATTTTTCCTGAACTGTGAGCAAAGGAAGACAAAAAACAGAAGTTTCTGGAACTGAACCACTGGCTAGGTACTGTGGTTCTTTGAGATGTGCTGTCCACACATATTCCATGGCCTGCCCTCCTTCCCTGCTACTGTGGTGTCTTATAACATGTGGATTCTGTATTGATGAAGGAACTGAGTGTGGTTGGGCTTGGTCCACCCCTTTATGCCCTTGCTACAGGTCATGAGTACACTCAGCACATACGTGTCTCCAACAGTCACTATTGGTCCAGATATTCTGATCTCAAATTTGTGGGGCGCATGATCACCAAGAGTGGAATATGAATGGACAACACATGAAGAATCACACTTACAGTAAGGTAAATTACTGTTTCTTGTTTTTAGCTCTAGTAAAGTCTGTATTTATGGAACCTATTATTGAGAGTGTCAGTCTTGCCTCTAATTGTACTAGGGGTATGGTCGCTTCTGGACTGAGTCAGAAGTTTGTAGATTTAAACATGCAGAGCTACAGTATGTTCCTCTATAGGGTATATACAGTATCTTTCTTAGATGATAAAAGATTGACATTTTGGTTCAGCTGATGCTGCCTTTGGTTGCTCAGTGGAAGGTTCCTCATTAATCCCACTTTTCTGTTAAGAGACAGTTAAAAAGTTTTAAGTTATACCAATGTAGACCATATTTCATTAGTCAAAGGAAAATAAAATGTTTACATATCCATCCTATTTCTTTGATTTGATTGGTTCTGGTCTGCGCCAGTGGGTCTGATTTAGTCTAACTAATAGTATTTCAGGTTCACTTTAACTAAACTTGTTCCTTGTTAATGTTTTTTCTTGTACACTGTCACCCAAGTATTGCTGAAGGAGGGAAAGCCACAGGGAACTGGATCCATCAGCTGTATGACTGCTTTGCGTCAATGGATTGGTGCTAAGTAGCCTGTGTGCGGCCCAAGATCTGGTCCATTATCATGAGGAAGCTGAATTAAGATTGTGTGGGCAGTCTTAACTTTGGCATTTGCTGACTTGAGTACTTTATTATGCAACTTTCTTTTAATGCAGTTTTTTGCTTATCTATATTATAGGGGTAGATTGTATTGCTTTCTGGATATCTGTTGTATAAATATATGACTTCCTGAAATCAATAGACTATCAGGGCATATTTTGCAGCAAAATGGAAGTATGCATTTGAAAGATGTACCTGGTATATTCAGCATCAACTAAGTGGTTAATAAAATACTGACTTTAGTTTGTAAGTAAGATTTTAAATGTTTTACTTATTCAACAGTGATTTTTTTCTTTTAATTTTCTAGTTTTGCAAGCATGTATCTCTTTTAAGATAATTTCAAGGTTTTGTTTTATTTTAACAGTTCAAGAAAAAAAATAGCATATCAGTCAGAACTGCAGATTATATGCAAAAACACCCGTAAGATTGAAGAGCAAATAAGAAAAGTGAATAAAGAGCTATATAATATTGAAATTGCTTATGGTGAAGGAAAAATAAAACTGGAGGAATTAGAAGAAAAAATCATTCGAGAAAAAATCCGGTACAAGGTTGTATATGACATTATTTTATTTAAATGTATTTTTTTAAATGTGGAAAAATTGGATAGAAGAGAATGCTATTTGTAACAGATTCCTGATTTAATTAATTTCTTCAGATGTGGCCGTGTTATAGGCAGAGTTGGCAGCAATTCCTATAGTAAAGTTTGACTAACACTTTTCATTCAAGACCATTTTTTCAGTTGCTTATAACTTTTCAGACTTTAACTTTATGGGCTGCAATGTTCCATGCCAGGCGGCTGCCTGAGTCTGGAGTTTTTTGCAACGTTTCAGCAAGGGTGGTACATCTGTTACCAGGAATGAGGTTAGGGAAAAATTCCATTGTTTTGCCAATGTTAAAATAATACAGCAATTTCATTGAGAAATTCTAGAACCTCCATCCTTTGGAATAGAGATTTGACATTTACAAGGAGATTGCTCTGGCCTTTTGCTGTTCCTGTGAAAATCCACCCACATTTGGCTGAATTACAAGCCACTGAAAATTGCCATTTGCACATTTTTTGGAGGCTGACAGTAAAAGCAGACCACCGCAGAGCTCAGTGCGAATAACAAGGGGCATGTTCTACTCCTGCAGAACTCACTCTGCACTCTAGCATGGGGCAGTATAGGGTGCTTCAGAGCTGGAGCACCCATGGAGAAAAATTATCATGTGCTCAGCACCCACCAGCAACCAAGCTCCCCCCGCAACTCCTCTCCTCCACTGGCGGCCCACTGATCACTCCTCCCCCTCTCCCAGTGCCTTCCGAGTCCCACCCACCACTCACAGCCATTTCGCAGTGTGCAGGTTGGCTCTGGGAGGGAGGGGGAAGAGCGGAACGAGGTGTGCTCGGGAGAGGGGGCGGGAAGAGGTGGGGAGGGTGGAGCACCCCCTCGGGTAGAGGGGAAGTCGGTGCCTATGTGGGGCAGAGTGGAGGCTGCTGTGGCACCAGGCACAGAACTGAGAGCAGTGAAACTCTTATGTTTTCAGTGCTCTGCTGGCACCTAGGCAACATAAAGGACATTGATGTAGCCTGACTGGAATGCAGACAGATGAGTAGCAAAATGGGAGGGAGAGACAAATACAGACTGTCACAAGATTACAAAGCTAGGTGTGGGGATAGGAACAGAAGGGGAACAAGACAGGATGCTTGGTGGGGAAGGGACAGAAACAGAAGGGGAAAAGGTGTAATAGGGAAAGAACATGGTGGACAGAGACAGATGGATACAAGGGCAGAAAACGTCAGGCTGGAGGGGACAGGAGCAGAAGGGTCTAACTACTAGAACACACTTCTGTCCAGAACTCAGAGCAGAATTCAGGATTCCTGAGTTTCAACAGTTATGTTGCCAGCATATATTATTGAAACATGCTGGAAAGGTTGTCTCTCATCCCCCTTTTAGTGATTGGTCCACAGAGAGGATACCATAGGTCCATACCTATGTCTACACCCTTCCTCAAGGTGATCTTCACAAACAGGGTTTCAAGTACTATCTTTCTGCCAATGACTCCCAAATCTATGTCTCCACTTCTGAATTGTCCTCCCTCTATTCAACCCTGTATTTCAGTGTGACTGTGTAACCATCTTCTCCTGGATATTTTACCGTTCATTAAAATTTAACATAGTTACAGCTGAATTCCTCAGTTTTCATCTCATCTATTTCTAACCCCCCCCCCCCCCTTTTTCTGTCACTATTGACATTACTATCCTTGTCACACAGGCACACAACTAGGTTTCATTTTGACTCATCACTCTTGCCATACATATGCAAACTGTTCCAAATCTTGCTGCTGCTTCTTCCATAATATTTTTAAGATCCTCTCTTTTCTCTATGACGTAGCTAAAACTTTTACTCTTGTTCTTTTTGTTGTTTTTATATGTACATACTAGATATTAAATGTATTGCCAGACAGTGCTCAGAAACAGATAATGTCCTTTCTCAACTGCAGTGACTGAAGTAACCATTAAGGATAAGTTCTTCATGTATTATTATAGCTACTCACCTGTGACTAGTGTAAGATGCAATTAGTACTTGTCCCGCCTAATCTTTTTTTTTTTCAGTTTATCATGTACAGAGGTATCATTATATTTCCTGAATTAGGACAATATCCACTTTCTTAAGAAATGAGAGAAGATTCTTACATTTTATGGAATGAACAATGTCCTTAATAGTGCATGTACAGAATATTAAAGAATGCAGAAGCGCTGAGTTGTGAGGATGTACTTTGCTTAATGTTTTGTTCTGAAGAAATTTGTGACTAAATAGTCTTTTCTGCATTTAATGTAACTTCCTAGGATATCCTCTGCCAATAAATTATTGGTATTCTGGCTGTTGTCAGATGAGTAATTAAATGAAACTTCCAAATTTAACAATATTCTTAAACAAATTAAAACCATATACAATATCCTGCTGAGGAAAAAGTAAGTAGACTGATAGTTAAATTGCCACAAGTAAATAGAGAACAAAGGTGCAGTTATTTAAAATTATCACAAAGCAAATATTCTCAACTATACAATAATACTCTTATTCCCAGCTGATTTAAAACGATAAAATAACAGATAGCACTCTCCCTCCCCCCAGTACTCTTCTATTTCTAGGAAAGCTGATAAAGCTCTATAAAACTTGCTTATTGTATTTAACATTAAATGTAATCTTTGCAAAATCTGAATTATGTCATTTGAACCTTGTGAATTGGTTGTCATTAATTAGTAAGGGAAGGTGTGCCCTTGACAAAGAGTTGGAACTTGAATTTATCTTTGTTTAAAAGTCTTAAGCACTTATCCTGCAAAGACTCATCAATATGCTTTTCTTTGTTCACTGTCAGTTGAACTCAGAGAAATCATAGTGCATAATGTTAAACAAGTGTGTAAATCTTTTGCAGGGTCAGTGCCTTAGTAAGTTAGAAGAGTCAGTAGTTTGGAATATGAGGACCCCGAGAAACGAAAATGATATTGAGAGTGTTCAGGGTTCCCTTTATATAAAAAGGATATAAATGGTATTGCGGATAGGTCCCTTAAGTTAGTACATACCCTGGCCTGTATTTAACATGTAGACAGCTCTCAGGCAGGAACAATCAAGAGTAGATATTTATATGTATGTATGTAAAATTATATTTCCAGTTACCAGACCATTGTATACCATTATAACTGCATGCTATGGGATGCCATGAACTCCATTTAGGCTCCTTACCAGAGAAGGAAAAAGGAGCTTCCTGAAATGCTGTTCATGAAGGGTTGAAAACTAGTGAAGTGCTCACTGAGAGCAATATGTGATATTTTGGAGGCTAGCCTTTGAACTTTGGCCATGGTATAGCCTTAAGAAGATATTTATGAGTAAGGTCCTCTGACCTCACTCCTGAGTCACAAAATAACATCAAAGACCTTCCTTTCAAAGGCGTTAGCTTTTTACTGCCAAGACTGATGATACTTTGGAAAAGATTAAAACCACTAAGTTTATTACTCAATCCTTAGGGCTCACTCAGTCCATGTCCTCTTCAGGAAGGAGAAAGTCATGTCCAGCATTTTACCTTAAAGGCAGAAGGGCTTCTCTGAAGAAAGATGCTGCCTGAGAGACAGTGCCAGAGAGTCTTCCTTAATTAAGCCAGATTCTGGTGAAAGATCTCAATTAAGAAGCAGAATTCCACACCATTAGTTTGCTTGGTATATGGCATCACTCCAAGTAGCAGTTTTGAAAGGAGAGTTGAGAACTGCACACTATTGACACTATCCTTTGGATCTTGTCTCTCCTCTTACAGTGCCTGATGCAGAGCTACCTGTGATTGTTGGGTATTAGACACTGTCTATGACAGTTATTCCATCCAATTTTTTACCAGCCCACCTCACTTTCCTTCCTCTCCTCCCTGCCTCTTCAGGGACCAATCTCATTAGAAAGTCCTATTTGAGGAAATCAGTTCTCTCCTACAATAGATAGCCAAAAAGGAGGTTTCACAAGAACACTGGAGAAAGAACACTATTTTAGCTATTTCCTGATCCCCCAAGAAGAGGGGTGGGCAAACTTTTTGGCCCAAGGGCCACATCTGAGTATGGAAATTGTATGTTGGGCCATGATTGCTCACGAAATTGGGGCTGAGGTGCGGAAGGGGGTGAGGGCTCTGGCTGGGAGTGTGAGCTCTGGGGTTGGGCCAGAAATGAGGCGTTTAGGGTGCAGGAGATGGCTCTGGGCTGGGGTAGGGAGGGTGGGGTGCAGGAGGGGGGTGAGGACTCCACCTGGGGGTGTGGGCTCTGGGGTGAGGCTGGTAATGAGGGGTTTGGGGTGTAGGAGGGTGCTCTGGGCTGGGACCAAGGGGTTCAGAGGGTGGGAGGGGCATCAGGGCTGGGGCATGGGATTGGGGCACGGGGGCAGGGTGAGGGCTCCGGCTGGGGGTGCAGGCTCTGGGGTGGGGCTGGGGATGAGGGGTTTGGGGTGCAGGAGGGTGCTCCGGGTTGGGACTGAGGGGTTTGAAGGGCGGGATGGGTCTCGGGGCAGGGGATTGGGGCAGGGGTGGTGGTGAAGGCTCTGGGCGGCACTTTCCTCAAGCGACTCCCAGAAGCAGCAGCATGTCCTCCCTCCAGCTGCTATGCGGAGGTGTGGCCAAGCGGCTTTGCTGCACGCTGCCCCATCCATAGATGCCACCCCTGCCACTCCCATTGGCTGCAGTTCCTTAGAGCGGGGTGCTTAGGGTTGGGGCAGCGTGCGGAGTGGAGCCCCCTGGCTGCCCCTACATGAAGGAGCCAGAGGAGGGACATGCTGCTGTTTCCGGGAGCAGCCCCCACCCCTGCTCCCCGGCTGGAGTGCAGGAGCGGGGCAAGCCCCACACCTCGCTCCCTAGTGGGAGCTCAAGGGCCGGATTAAAACAGCTGGCGGGCCGGATGCGGTTTGCCCACCCCAGCCCAAGAAGAATGGCAGTCTGAGACCAATCCTGGCCTTCAAAAACCTCAACAAATTAATGGAAACTTTAAAGTTCAGGGTGCTCACATTAGAGGATTTCATTTCCCTACATCCATATGGCAATCAAA